CACACACACCACCGCCTGGCACTTACACACACACACACACCACCGCCTGGCACTTACACACACACACACCACCACCTGGCACTTACACACACACACCACCACCTGGCACTCACACACACACACCACCGCCTGGCACACATACACACACACCACCGCCTGGCACTTATACACACACATACACCACCTGGCACTTACACACACACACACACACCACCGCCTGGCACTTACACACACACACACCACCGCATGGCACTTACACACACCACCGCCTGGCACTTACACACACACCACTGCCTGGCACTTACACACAAACATACACCACCTGGCACTTACACACACACACACACACCACCGCCTGGCACTTACACATACCACCGCCTGGCACTTACACACACAAACACTACTGCCTGGCACTTACACACACACACACACACCACCGCTCTGTGCTTCACAGACGGGAAATAGAAGAGGTGCATGTATCAAAAATGATCCACAGAAAACGTAGTATCCGAAATCTAAAAACCAACAACAAAAACCCCACATCGAATTGGAAACCTCTTTGCACAACTACTTTAATAAAATTAAAAAAATACATTTTCTTATACGATCTCAAGGTCTACGGCATGTTTTAATGTGAACTTCTACGAGAGGCTTCTGATAAAGTAAAATTAGCACGGTAGGCGAGCAGCAACAGCGATAACACAAATAGAAGCGGACAAAGTGTTTAAACAGCGTGTGGTCGCTCCATGACCTGGTGTGGCGTTAGCTGCTGGTGAGTTGCTGCACCAAGGGTGGCTCCATTCCCTCCCATCTGCACAGACCCGCAGAGTCTGCCAGTCACACACGCTACACGGTCAGGAATTCCTCCCTGCAGTCCGATGCGTGTGTCTGCGCCTCTGTGCATGGACCAGGCAGCCCGCTGGCCGGCCTGGGCCGTGGGTGGTCATGGAGTCCAGGGTGGTGGTAATGAAGGCAGGAGGTGGGTGAAGGGGCTGTGGGAAGGCCGGGACCACCGCACGGCCAGGGCCGGCCCTGGACGATCAGGAGACAGTGGTGACCAAAGGAGAAGCTACCGTGTCTTTCTTGGAAGATTATCTTGGTTCGCTGAAATGACTCCCAAGGAGGCCCTAGCAAAGAAAACGTCACCTTAGCTGCGGTTGTGTGTAGTTAGGAGTGTATTTTCTCCTGCTAGCAAAACACTCATGATCGAGCTTAATTCCTGCGACGCACTCCGAAGCAACCTGCCCAGGGAGGATAATTCGTCGCCCTGTCCCTGAGTTCTCCTGTGCATTTTTATTCTGATGTGATTTCAAACTACATGGCGGTTAAAATAAGAGTGCAGTCGGGTGCTGGTGCCTTACACCTGTCATCCTAGCTACTCAGAGGCTGAGATCTGAGGATCACAGTTCAAAGCCAGGCCAGGCAGAAAAGTCCATGAGACTCTTTATCTCCAGTGAACCACCAGAAAACCGGAAGTGGTGCTGTGGATCACGTGATAGAGCGCCAGCCTTGAGCTGAGGGACAGCGCCCAGGCCCAGAGTTCAAGCCCCACCACCAACCAGAGGAAAAAAATGCAAAAGAAGCCCCAGACAGTAGCCTTTATCCTGTGCCGGATTCTTCACTCATGGGGATTTTTAAATCCTTGAGTGTGAATTGCTGGCGTTGACCCCTGACCCCTGTCTCCTAAGAGCCAGAGATGGTCCTCGGACCAGGTCAGGGGTTTGGCGCAGCTGTAAGTTCCCCAGACCGGGCTGTGCAGCATGTGCAGCTTTGTGTGCAGCCGTGACGCGCGCATATTGTGTGTAATTTTTTTCAGCTATTTACTTTGGAGGGCCGCCGTGTGCTTTTGCTTGCTCTAGGTAAGGATGTTTCTTGGCGTTAATCCAAACCTTGGTGAGCATCCACACAACATAGCAACTGTGCTTTGTTTTTCTCAAGAAGTGCTCATTTGAGACCGGGGCTGGGGAGCCTGCTGGTAAAAGCCAGCCCTGGGGCAGGGCGGCGGCGCCGGTCCCCGGAGGTCAGGTGGATGCGTGGATCCGGTGACTGTCTGCGGCCCTGCAGCAGGCCTGGGCAGACCAGCCCCGGCCAAGGGCTCTCCGTTCAGATGGGACGCACTGCGTCCGTGGGCCAGGAGCGGGCGCCTCGCGCTTCGCGTGTGTTTGTGTATGAGAGTCGCAGCAGTGAGAGATCCCCGAGTCGGGGACAGAGCGGGGCTGCGGCCGCTTCCCACAGGACTGAGCACCCCGGTGGCCGGGCTGTGTGAGGCCTGTGAGCTGTTGTGTCCGTACCCTGTGACGGCCAGAAGGGAGACTTCAGCGTCTACTCCCCGCCTCTTACCAGGCTCTCCCTCAGCTCCCCCCACTCCTCCCAGCTCTCTCTCTCCTCGCCTCCCCCTCCCTGCGGACGTTTACTCATGGTGAATTCCCCAGCCGGGGGAGGAGCGCCTCCGCCCTCCAGGGCCCTCAGTGTAGCTGTGGATGGGCTTTTCGGGGTCACGTGGCACCACTGAGATCCAGGTCCCTGAAGAATGCTTCCCGGCCTGTGCTTTCACATTTGGGGGACGGCCCTGGCTAGGAGACAAGGTGAACCTCTGGGTATGCCCAGCCAGGTGCTGGGCACTGGCATCTGAGGTGCTGGTGCTGGGTCCTGCTGGGCAGGGGGCCCGGGTGCTGGTGCTGGGTCCTGCTGGGCAGGCCCGGGGCCCGGGTGCTGGTGCTGGGTCCT